GGGTTGTCGTCTTTCCTTCAAACCTTATCTTCATTGGTACCAAATTAACCTTTGATATACCAATGTCAACTCAGTTTTGACATTACTTAGGAAGCAAGTTACAAAAAGCCCATGGTGGGTCAAGCAAATGAAATCTACTTAGAATTTTCTAAAGAAAGTCGGTATAAATTAGACTCCTCGGCATCTTTTTACATCAACAAGGAACAATAAATTAAGTAAAGTTCTTAACAGAAACCAAGCGAATCTGAACACATAATTCTAAACTTTATTATAAAAATAATAATAAAAAAGATTTAATAAAAAGTTCTAAAGTTTTGGTTGTTTACCAAAGAACCTGTTATAAAGTAGGTATAGTTGGTAACCCATATAACATAAGCCAGCTGCCTATCTTTTTCTTCACAATCTTCCCTTTATATACCGCCAATGATTCTCCCCAGCAACCCACAATCACAAATCATCTCTCGGAAAATTCCCATTTCAGAATTTGCAAAAAAATATTACTCCATTCTTCAAAATCTAGTTAAGTTTCAATGGCAGCTAAGAGAATTGAAACGGTTGTAATTCTGATTATTGCAGCAACATTGTGGGCAGGAGCTGCAGCACAATCAAGTGACTGCTCTAATGTGCTCATCAGCATGTCCCCGTGCCTGAATTACATTACTGGAAACTCCTCGAGCCCATCTTCTTCATGCTGCTCTCAGCTTTCCAGTGTCGTTAAGTCGCAGCCTCAGTGCTTGTGTCAAGTCATCAATGGCGGCGGCTCCTCACTCGGTATCAATGTTAATCAGACTCAAGCTATGGCTCTCCCTTCTGCTTGCAACGTCCAGACTCCTCCTGTCAGCCAATGCAACGGTGAGAAAATTCCCATCCAATTTCTCCCAACATAAATTCTTTATTTGCTTTTCGAAACTCTAATTGTTTGGTTCTAAATGGCAGCTGCTTCTCCCTCGGGATCTCCTTCAGGTTCAGGTGCATATTTAACTGGACTCTTTTTGTTCATATAAACAGTTGATACGTTTTCACACTTGAAAATTCTCATATATATATTAATGTCATTCAATTATTTTGTGCAGGTGGGGGATCAAAGACTGTTCCATCAACAGATGGGGATTCATCAAATGGAAATGCTACAAAGCTCACATTTTCTCTGCTTCTGCTGTTGCTCTTCGTTGCATCTACTCAGTTTTAAATTAATTTTTTACCATTTTACATATAAAAAAAGTGTTGCATTTTTTATTTTTATATATATTTTTTGGGAGTGTTTTATTGTATGATTAATTTATATTTTATAGGGGGAATAATAATAATTATTATTATTATTATTGATTTTGGATTATTGTATTATTGTATTATTCTCTTTACAATTTTATAATAAAGTTCATTATAATGCTCAAAGATTATGTGGTGGCATGGTCAATAATTAAGTGTAATTTATTATCCATAAGACAAAATTTGGCTTAAACAAATCATGATGTCTGATGGAGCAAAAGCAAAAATAAAAAAAAAGTTAGGTACACAATTTGATCATATCAATTACAAGCTTCCAATACTGACTTCTTCTTCACTGCATCATAATGAAATACCCAAAAAAGTTAAACACCTAATTAAATTAATCAAATCTAATTAATCTAAAGCTAATTTAAAATGTGGACAGACCAACTGGTTCTAGACTTTTGAGCTCTCTTAATTATTATTATTATAATTGATATAATAAATTATTACATCTAGAATGATAAGAATATTATCTACTGTTGGGTACTGCTTTATTTCTGCATTTGGATTTATTTTATAATTAATTTTGTATTTTAATCTTATAATAAAAATGATTGATAGACTGAGATGTTATGGTCCGTTTGGTTCATTATTCTAATAATTTTTAAAATAATATTTTGAAAAAAGTTAAATTGGGTGGGTGTTACGATGTAGAATTTGAAAATTAACAAAAATGTCTCCTATGTTTGTTTATCTACTAAACACCCTATAATAAAATATTAAAAGTTAACAAAAACACCTTCAACCCACCCATTAAATATGGACAGTCGGCCACCAACGTCAGAGGGCGGCCAGAGTCACCGTATCGGCGCATGTCTACTAGATCTTGTCGGTCGTGCACTAATATGGCCTTAAAAAATGTCAGATTTACAACTAGATCTGGCCGCATTTGATCGTCAACGACGACCGTAGATCTAGCCAGAAAAGGCTAATTTAGCACACTACCAACCAGATTCAGCAGGTAATACACCATTACACCAGATTCTGACAATGGTGGCCAGAATCTGGTAAATGTGGGTTGCTAGATTGTTTTTGTCAATTTAAAAAAAAATAGATTGTTTAATTAAATTAACAAATTTAAGAAGTTTAAAAGAAATTGAATAATATAGAATAATATTTTGAGAATAAGTTAACCAAAACAAATTTTTTGTTTAACTTTATTGAAAAACTAGAAAGTTTTCCCAAATTATGTAACAAGCGGAGCCTTATGTTTTGTTCCCCCGTCACACTCTATCTATATTTTATTAAATTTAAGAGATAGAATTTCACTTTATATTTTCTTCCGTGCTCTCTTGAAATTCCATTCCCTCCTTCTTGTATAAGTAATCCTTTTATACATCTTCTGCAATTTGGATTTCTTTATTTCATAATTTTTTTATATTTAATTATCAATTATAAACATTTTAAAGTTTTTTAACATGTACATCAAGAACAAAAAGATTAATGGTTGAATTGAATTGTTAATATTTATTTCATACAAATATCAAGACATCTACACTGATCATTGATAATAACAAGACATTTACACCGATTATTGTTATCAACGACACAACTATTTACAAGTTCAAACAATCTCAATCCCACCATTTTTTTGTTAAGTTTATTATAAATATAATCATTTTCTTTATAATTAGCCTCTTTTATTCGAAAAAAGAAAAAACAGTTTGATTCTTTTAAATTGAATTTTGTAAATATAGATGTATTTTTTCAAAAGCACTATTAAAACACTTAAAAAAAAATTAACATATTATTACATCAAAAATTGAGATTCCCTTTGTTTTATCTTTTTTTTTTTTTTACATATTATTACATAAAATGGATAAATGCATTAAAACAACTGAAAAATGAAAATTTTAGCATATTTTTTTTACAAATTATTACATTAAATGGATAAATATTTTTATTTTTCAATAATCTTAACTATATTCTAACCGACTGCCCTTGTATTTGTATATATATAATCTAAATCTCATCTAATTCAAAGGCACGAGGTTCATGAGTCCGGGTCAAAGAAGAGAAATGACATCACCCGAAACGACAACGTAACGTCGTAGTAAGCAGAAGAAAGAAAAAATAAAAAATCCATTTAAGAAAGGAAACAATTTAATAAAAAAGAAAAAAAAAACACGTGCAAAGAACGTGGGAAGCAAGAATGAGAGAAAAAGAAGAGAATAACGAAAATGCCATTGCAGCAGGTGAGGTGAATGAAGCCACTAGGATTGGAATATCCTCCATGCCTATTCTGTTTGTTTTAGGTTAAACACAAAACACAAAGCCCCAAGCTCCTCATCATCATCTACACCAACAACAACAACAAGAACGTTAAACTTGAAATCCACTTTGTAACGTTTATTAAAAATCACATTTTTATTTTTATTTTCTTTGTAAACTCATCGGTTTCTTAGCCGTGAAACCAAACCACCAACTCTTTCTTTCTATTCGTTTTCCAATTTCCCATTTCTTAATTACGGAACCCCAAGTTTCGTGTTTCTCCCCGTCTTTGCTCTTTCAGGTAAATCGTTTTATTTTTTTATCTCTTTGGGAAATTCGCTTGTGGATTTTAGCTTTTCTTTTTTGTGCCGAATTGCTTGTTTATTTTTGAAATTGTTGAGTGTCTCTTTTTTTTGGTAGTTCAATTAGGAGTGAATTTTATGTGGGAAATGGATGGCGTAGAATTTTTTGTTGTTATCTTTTTGTGGGCTTCAATTTTTATTTCAATTGACGCCTTTGTGTTGTGGTGGTTTGCTGTTGTTAGTCTGTGAATTTTCGTGAAGTGTTTCGTGTTGTGATTGTGAATTGGTTTTGGTTTTGTGAAGCTAAAGTGAATCATGGGTTAGTGGTTCAGTTAAATTTTGCTGAGAAATGTAACAACATTCTTTATATCTACAAATTATGCATTTGTTTCGGAGTCATTTTGTCAAATCGCGAGTGGAGAATTTGTTTCAAACGCATACTTTTTTAGTTGCAAATGTGTTAGTTTGGATTTCATCTTGTAGCTTTTAAGCTTTCATTTTGTTCTACAATTTATAGTTTTTTTTTAATTGAGATCAGATAGTGGTTCTAATTTGAATCTCCCTTGCCTTTTGATAAGTTTTGTGATGTTTTTTCTTCACATACTATGGGATCATGTGGTGTATGTGTAAGTATTTTTTTGGAGGGATTCTACTGATTGAGAGAAGATTACCTGAACAAAGCAAAAATAATGAAAAGAAATGGGATTTTTTGGGTTCGAGTAGCTATAGTTTGTTTGTGTGTACTTTCAGGTTGGCATGTTGAGGTATATGTTAGCCAACCTTTGCTAGTAAATCTTTCCTTAACAAGGAATTGTTAGGTTGTTAAGGCCCTTCCCAAAGGTTTTTCGAAGCTTAAATTTGATTGGATCTTTCTGGTTTGTCTCATTCAGAAAGGGTTTATGAAGAATGTGGTACCAACTCCAAAGCTTTAGGTTTGAAAGTTTTTCGGCAAACATGCTATTGATGGAGCTCTAGTCTCAGAATTTTCCCTTTGGAAATAATACTATGTGGGGTTTGTAGATTTTATGTTACTTGGAACCCAAAACTATACCCTATAAGGTTTGTGAATTATAGGTACCTATGCAATACAAATGTTTCATAATTTGAGGCCAAGAATGCTCAGACTAGAACTTTCTTTTTTTATATAATTGGAGAGGAGTTATCCATTTCAACAGTTTAGTTGAACTTGGTGTATTAATGTTGAATTTGATGTCTCAATGTCAGCGTTAATAACTTAATTCTTTTTTTAGAAGCAATAAACATCTATAGTCTTAGAATTTTGGTCACTTTAAATTCATAGATGGCAAGACCTGATGCTAGTCAATGACTTTCCCGGTTTGGTGCAATTTCAGTAGTCTTTCTTTGTTTACCAGTTTTCTTTTCCGCCATATGATGTATGCTTTCCAATCTGATAATGAGAACATAAAATTTGCCTATCCATGTTCTTGCTACTTTTTAATGGTAAAACAATTATTATGTTTAGTTCCTTTATGGCTTTACGTAGAATGATGGGGTGCTATAAGTTCATGTTGCTTAGAGTTTCATCACGATAAATAGCTGGTAGGTATGAGCCAAACTTCAAACTTTAAGAAATTGGATTCTTTTGTGTCGGGATTGCAGTGGTGAAATGATGTAAGGGATTATTTTTATTATGAATGTAATGAAAAGTCTCAAACTTTTATACATTTTTTAACAAGGAATAAATTTTTCCAAGCCGTTTTCACTTCTATTACAAGGCTTCAGATTTTAGTTGTGGTCTATATGATGATCTGGTACTGTTGATTGATCTGTTTTATATGTGGACATAACATTTAGCATTTGAAAGTATATACTAATTGTTGGGATCCCACATTGAAAGGAAAAAGGGTGGGCATGTGGGTTATAAAGGCTTGGGCACCCTCCCTTGGCAAGCCGGTTTTCCAAGGAGAGTTCTACCCAAGCCCATGAAAGACCCATGGCCCAGCCCAAATTATTGAGTTATTGGAGTGGGTTCCTATCAATTGGTATCAGAGCATGATCCTGCGCCTATGTGGCAGCGCACGCGTGGCAGGCTGACCCGTGGCAGGCTGACCTTGGGCCCGGGCTGCTACCCCGAGAAAGGGCATGGAGGCCCGAGGGAAAAGGGGATCCGCGTAGTCACCCAAGGGGCAAAGAGGCCGACGGGGGTAAAGAGGCCGACGTGGACGTCGGTTGCGGAAGCGTGGTTGATTGTTGGGATCCCACATTGAAAGGAAAAAGGGTGGGCATGTGGGTTATAAAGGCTTGGGCACCCTCCCTTGGCAAGCCGGTTTTCCAAGGAGAGTTCTACCCAAGCCCATGAAAGACCCATGGCCCAGCCCAAATTGTTGAGTTATTGGAGTGGGTTCCTATCAATTGGTATCAGAGCATGATCCTGCGCCTATGTGGCAGCGCACGCGTGGCAGGCTGACCCGTGGCAGGCTGACCTTGGGCCCGGGCTGCTACCCCGAGAAAGGGCATGGAGGCCCGAGGGAAAAGGGGATCCGCGTAGTCACCCAAGGGGCAAAGAGGCCGACGGGGGTAAAGAGGCCGACGTGGACGTCGGTTGCGGAAGCGTGGTGGAATGTTGGGATCCCACATTGAAAGGAAAAAGGGTGGGCATGTGGGTTATAAAGGCTTGGGCACCCTCCCTTGGCAAGCCGGTTTTCCAAGGAGAGTTCTACCCAAGCCCATGAAAGACCCATGGCCCAGCCCAAATTATTGAGTTATTGGAGTGGGTTCCTATCACTAATATTACTGCCAATGCATTCCTGCTTGGAAGATTCTATATTAACCTGAAGTCTGATTCTTGATCTAGAATACTGGAGCCTTGAGCAATTGAATTTGGGGCTTTTTCTTTTCAGATCCAATTGGCCGAGTTATTGATTGTCTCTTGGTGTTTTGTAATAATATGTTTCTTTATGTGCTATAGGCACCCAAAAGTTATCAAATGTGGCGATTGCTCGTGCTTGAAATTTTGTGAATTAGGTTTCTCTACAGTATGTTTTATTGACCTCCTTTACACCAGTTTTCTGATGCTATGTTGCCCATGATCTTATCTTCTCACCGTGAAGTGTAGATAGAATTGAGTCTGAAATTTGGCTATTTTCATTTTGTTGGATTTGAAGAACTTTTTGACAATTAAATCATGCATCCAGATAAATCACATTTTTGGAATTAATTCATCCGGGTTAAATTTGGATTTTGAAACTTTATTGAAATTTTTAATACTGGAATTGTAAAGTTTGATTTGATCACTTGTTCTTGTAGCATGAACATGTGAATTAATAAGAAGGAAAAATAATGAAGTAATAAATGCTTTTAACCTCAAATCTACTTCGTTCTTAATTTTTAGTTTAAATTTTCTTGTAGATGGTTGAGTCTGAACTTTCTCGACTATAATTTTGAAGGATTTGTTCTCTCTTAAATGTGGCCTGTGCCCTGTAAAACAAATGCAATGAAATTCAATTTTCATTAATATTTAAGGACACCTGGTGTAATATTATGATTTTAAAATTTGAGCACTACTAAACGAATCTCTTAAATTGGCGTATTTTGTATGTTTCAGGCTCTGTTTGTGAATGCTATCATCAGTATAGTGACAAATCCGTGGTGAAGATTGTATGAAGCGGATCAAACTGTGATTATTATGTCTGAACTGATTGAAGGTCTTCCAGACGCAGTTGCCCTTAGGTGCCTTGCAAGGGTTCCTTTCTACCTCCATCCTAAATTGGAGCTTGTTTCTCGTTCCTGGAGAGCAGCCATTCGTAGCCAGGAGCTGTTTAAAGCACGGCAGGAAGTTGGTTCATCAGAGGAGCTGCTATGTGTGTGCGCATTTGACCCTGAGAATTTATGGCAGCTTTATGACCCTCGAAGAGACCTCTGGATTACTCTCCCTGTTCTTCCCTCAAAAATCAGGCACCTTGCCCACTTTGGTGTTGTCTCGGCAGCTGGGAAGCTGTTTGTGCTTGGTGGTGGCAGTGACGCTGTTGATCCATTGACTGGAGATCAAGATGGGAGCTTTGCCACAAATGAGGTCTGGTCATATGATCCTATAATACGACAGTGGGCCCAATGTGCATCCATGCTTGTGCCTCGTGCTATGTTTGCATGCTGTGCATTGAATGGAAAGATTGTTGTAGCAGGCGGTTTCACCAGCTGTCGAAAATCAATTTCTCAAGCAGAAATGTATGATCCAGATAAGGATATCTGGGTCCAAATTCCTGATCTCCATCGTACTCATAATTCAGCATGCACTGGGCTAGTCCTTGGAGGAAAGATGCACGTCTTGCACAAGGGCTTGTCGACAGTGCAAGTATTAGACCCTATGGGTCTTGGGTGGACAGTTGAAGATTATGGTTGGCTCCAGGGTCCAATGGCAGTTGTTCAGGGCTCTATCTACATCATGAGCCATGGATTCATTTGCAAGCAGGAGGGCAACTTGAGAAAGGTAGTGGTTTTGGCATCTGAGTTTCGAAGGAGAATCGGGTTTGCAATGACAGGGATGGGCGGTGACATCTATTTAATTGGAGGGGTGATCGGCCCTGATAGATGGAATTGGGATATCAAACCAATGTCCGATGTTGAAGTCGTGACAGTCGGGGCTGAGAGACCAACCTCACGCCAGGCTGCTCCAATGACACGATGTCGCGGAACAATTCTTGGATGTACGCAGCTAAAGATTTAGTTTATGTTTTTATCCTAACTGTTGCTTTTTTGTGAAAAATTGTACTCTTGTTGAGGCGTCTGCACATCTTATCGGATATAAGAAACGAAGGTCTTGCTGGAAGCCCTGTTCTGTTTGTTGTAAAGCCATAATATTTGGCCTTGTGTCTACTCCAGTTTAGAGGCCGACACTGAAGGTTTTTATCCGTTTGACTGGCAACAAAATGAGTCGTACATGAAATTTATGTAGTAGCATGCATGAAAAAGTATTTCTTTATTGGGTATTTGAAGAGAGAACAAACTTCTTGTAATCTTGTTTATCGCTAGTTTATATTTATTTATTTGTTTTTGGTATGAGAAATCAGAGTGCAAATTCGCATAAATCACAATGCCAAGAATTTGATATAATCATATAAATCAGAAAAAGAAAGAGCGATTGGGCCTCATTTCCATTCTGAGGCCCATTGAGCATAACATTGATTTTCTTTTTAAAGAACAAACGCCCTAGTATGATGGAGCCATTAACCCCGCAAAGAGTGTGGCATATACCACATCCCCATATCCCCACCTCTCTCAAACCACCCCCCCCCCCCCCCCCCCCCCCAAACCCTAACTTCGAGACTTTGGCTTAACTTGGGAAGAAGAAGAAAATGGAGGAAACTCAAATGGAAGGGGGAGCAAACAACAAAGACGTGGAGGTAGCTCCGGCCCTCGTTTCCGTTCACCCTAATCAGAATTCTGTTGCTGTCGCTGTCGGGTCGGACCTCCGCGTCTACGATCTCCTGTAAGCTGTCTCTTTTCTTCTTCTTCTTCTTCACTTGACTAGTACTCATTAATCATTGGGTAAATGAATTTTCTGTTGGGTTCAAAACCCAGCAAAGACAAATAGTTGCATTATGATAACTTCTAATGATTTGTGAAATTAGGAGAATTTGATGAGATGCTTGTACATGTAAAAAGTCACTATTAAGTTTTATTGGAACAAATTATGTATCTAGTGGAAGACATTTCTTTTTTTCTTTGTGTAATTTGACTTTATTTTTATGTTTCTGGTATCTTGACAGTCGGGATGGTGCAGTTTCTTTGCTGGATGATTCTGGTGGACCTTCTCATAAGGATTCTATCAGAGCTATTCGATATGGAGCAAATGGGAAGCTCTTTGTATCTGCCGGTGATGACAAAATTGTCAAGATATGGTCTGCTGAGTCTTGGAAATGTATTAGTTCTGTGTAAGTTATTCAAGCCCACATGGGGTTTTATTAGTTTTAAAGATTTTAGCCTACTTGATAGTCTAAGTTTTTGAACTGGGAAGTTCATGCATGAATAACGCAGAAGGCTTCTATCCCACATTTTACAAATTTTAAGTTTTAATGTCTGTGGATTGATGTAGTATGGTGATTGCCTCTAAAAGTTTTGTTTGTTCCTCACAAAAATAATGGTCCTCTAAAGCAGGTTCCTGAGTGCTCTTTAGCATTTTGCATGTAGTAGTCACCTGCAAGAGTTAAATCCAATCTCTTCACTTATTCGCTCAAGATTCTTAACGTTACACCATGCAGTGATCCCATTTATTTATGACTCAATTTTATGTCTGATGAAAGTTTTTCAATGGAGGATTGCTTAAATATTGTGGATCTAACAGGTGCTCTGAGAAGAGAGTGACTGCAGTTGCCATTAGCAATGATGGTCAGTATGTTTGTTTTGCTGACAAATTTGGAGTGGTTTGGGTTGTGGACCTGCGTGAACTTGATGAAAGTCAAGCATCAGCCAATAAGAAGGCAGCACCGTTGCTTGCTCACTATTGTAGCATAATTACTAGTCTGGTGAGGATTCTTATTCGTATAGATGTTTGTTTTTTTTAACTGTAGATATGGTTTAGGGGTGGTTTGTAGGAATCTTCAACAAATTGACGCTTGAGTGCACCAAATTTTCCTTTAACATGATGATTGAATTTACTTTCTATACATTTCTGTGCAGGCTTAGGCTATTGTACTTTAGTCTAAGTATTTGTGGGTCTTTAATGAAATGTTGTTCTCGAGTTCAGAGAATTGATGACTGCCTTTGTTGTTTACCAATTGTCAATGAAGAAACAGATCGCTAGGAATTTCTTTCTTTGTGCTTTTTCATCCCATTTTCCTTATTTTCTTTTCAGAAACCTGCTGGTCAGGCTTTTTCTCTGTGTGCATGTGAACACTTTTCTTTAGCTATTTTTTCACTTTTCAATCTCTTCTTGCCTTTTCTGTTGAGGTGGGGAAGTTGATGAAGTTAGTTTTGCAACCTTGCTGCCTACATGATTTTCACTTGTATACTGGTCACTGTTGAATTGAATTATTTGCAGGAATTTTCTCCAGATGGACAGTTCGTTGTTAGTGCAGATAGAGATTTCAAGATTCGTGTAAACTCTCTTAGCCCATTGAATGACATAACTTGTTAGCCTGTCTCTGCACTTCATTTACATCATATCATTTTTATGACAGGTTACTGTGTTTCCCAAAAAGCCTTTAGATGGAGCCCATGAGATACAGAGCTTTTGCCTTGGCCATACAGAGTGAGTGAGTTTTTACTATCTAGTGTTTTATTGCATTCATTTGATATTCGCGGGAAGTTCTTGTGCGCTGAAGCTTGTGGGTGGAAGAAATCTTCCAAAATGACACTTCCGAAGTGAATTGATGGCATTTTGTGTGCTTTCTGAAATGTATCAAACATAAAACAAACTTAACTTTAAATTTACCATGTGGATTTGCTGCATAGCAACAGACTCTCACATTTGATCCTAAATTACTTTATACCTAAATATGTGTGGATAACAATTTCTAATTGCTAAGGTTGACATGTTCATTTTTTATGTATCTATTGACAGGTTTGTGTCCTGCCTTACCTTTATTTGCACTCTGGAATGCCCCCAAGGGTTTCTTGTTTCTGGAAGTGGTGATTCAACAGTGAGTATCCATAAGCTGACAATTATCATGTTGTTTATTCTCTTTTTTGAGGTACAAAAGTGTGGTAACAATTTATGTACATTGCTTTTGCAGGTTCGGTTGTGGGATATTACCTCAGGATCTCTCCTTGATACTTGTGAAGTTGGTGTGAAGGTATCTCACTTGTAAAATTTCCCTGAAGTTGCTGATGATAGCACTGATTTCCCCTGATGTTTCTGAAATATCACTTGTCAATTTTGATGGACACGTGAAACTGTATTTTCTGTGCTCATACACATACTGTTTATATTAACTCAATATTAGATACCTTGCTGAGAGAATCTTTTCCTCTATTGTATGTGTGACTTATCCTACAAGACCACAAGTAGGTAGTGGTCTTGGCATCATAGGACAGGTGAAAGCAAGTGATTAACAGGTTATTTTTATTTGCTTACTTGGTTTCTTTTTTAATTGCTTCATGAAGGCAGGACATTTAGTGTCTGAGGGAAGTGGTGAGGGTCATTCTACTGTGACTGATCTTTCCACAATCCAGGACAGTCAACTTGTTGCGGTGGCTATTCAGAGGCAAGTTTCATCAGTGATCTGTGTGTTACCTTTGCTTTTTTGAACAACTTCTGTCTTTGATTTTAATACTTCATGTCTATATATTGTCTCTTTCAGCTTGCAAGGAATATTGTTATTGAGCTGCAACATTTCTGCTCAAACACTTTATTTTGCCAAGGTAAGAAATTCAAAGTACACCAGTAGTAGTAGCAGACTTGGAAACAACAGAACCATTATTCAGCACTTACAAAAAAAATTAAACTTGCTATAGTTGTCTTTGATGGATGAATTGTTTCATGTCTTACCTGAAAACACAAATTCCAGTGGCCTGTTAATTTAGCCAATCTGCCATGTTGTTACATGTATGGCTCAAATCTAGATTGAGATATTAGCTGCTATTCAACATGAAATATGGATATTCCTGAAAGCGTATATGAATGGTTGATTCCCAGTGTTGGGCTTCTGCAACAAAGTATGTGTAGGAAGTTGTAGACGTTCATTAGATTTTCAAAGGTTAAGTCACCGATGTTTGTACCATTGATCACAAATAATTTTAGTTTACTGTTCTCAAATAGTGTGATTCTTGCAGGTAGTTTCCATCAAGGGAGAGAACTTCATTCCGACAAGCTTGGGGAGTAGCTCTTCTGTGGGATTATTGTGGATGGTGACCGGCGTCTCCAATGTGCCTGGTTTTGATTACTCTTCTCTGTCCCGAGTGAAGGTCATTTCGGGTTTCAACAAGAACTCTGCTGATTCTGTTGAGAATGAACCTACTGTTTTAGAAGATAATGACATACCTGGGGGAATGGAACTGCTCAAGAAGTTACAAGGAAGTGTTTGTGTTGAAGAGAAGGTCTTTTTGGCGGCTGCTGAAGCTGTAAAAACATCAATTTGCAATTTGTTGATCAAAAAGCAGTACTCTTCAGAGAAACGTGAATTTAGAAAGAGAACAAGAAATGATAGAAAAATCAAACAATAACATTATTTCAGTCAGGGTGACAACTCTTTTCATTTCGCTAAATTTTGTAGGGATCCGAATCTCAACCAATGCTGTTGCTCGGATAGGAAGTTTTGTAATGTTAATTGTGCCCATTAGTAAGAAAATGATTGTAACATCTTACTTTACTGGCAAGGTGTGTGTGTGATGCTTGGTATTAATGAATCACCGCAACCATTTGTGATTTTCATTTATCTTTATTATCAATGATGTTGAAATTGAGAGGACATTATTAAGAAAATGATACATTACCCTTCATGAGAATTTATGTATGAATTAAGCAACTTTCTGGAATCATGAGTTTCTTTAGATCTGTGGTATAAGAGCTGAAGATCCTGAGATAGCTGCTACTGATGATAACTCATTCGAACTCTCTATTACATGGTGAGATTTCAGGTAACAAAAACTACTTTTATGATTTGCGGTTTGAGGAATGACCATTTGAAAGGTACATTGAAGCAGTCATTTCTGTTCATTGACTCTTTGCTTTCAAGTACATTTAGAAGCTTTATTTTGTTGATCTTCAACCAACCACGTATACAGTTGTGAAAATTTAAAAATTAATAAAAAAACCCTTTAAGTTTGTTAATTTATATAAACACTCTAATATATAAAAAGTTTATAAAATGATAAAAACATCCCTACCCACCCACAATGTCAGATTCTGACCATCACCATCGAAATCTGGTCAGAATCTAGCTTCATGCATGGATATAGTAGAAAAATACTAGATTTGGTTGTTGATGGTCGGAAAAGGCCAGATCGACAAATTAACGGATAGTTTCAATCGTTTGTAGGTTGTTGTGATAGATTTTGACTATTATCGATGATAGTTGTCGAAATCTGATAACTATGGGTGAGTGTGGATGTTTTTATTAATTTTTAAATTTTTAAATTTTTTAATTAAATTAATAAATTTAAAAAATCTAAAAATAATTTAAAAAATATAATATTACCTCCTAAATAATTAAACGTATATTTTGAGAATATAATTAGAAATAAGGAATGAAATAATAAAAGAAACGTACCCAAATATTTAGTAGACCTCACAAAGAGACAAAATAATATGGGCAGTAGGCAGTAGCAGTGCCTACTTTAACAAAATAAAGAAATCTACATTTGTGTCACCTCGAAATTCAATTCAACTTCACCATCATTAATCTCCAGCCCCTCCTTTTGGTTTTGGGAATATCTTTTATAGCTACTTCCATTATGCTTCTTCCACCATAAATTTTTTTTTTTTTTTTTTAACTCCGCAGTTATCACTTATCAGACCAGTTTATTTAACAGCTCTGATAAATCTTCGGTGATTATTTTTTATTAATAATCGTAAAAATATAAATTTAAAACATTTTAAATATTACATATTAGAGTGTCAAAAGAACCATCAAACTGCCTAGAACTGATTTTTTCAATCATAATTACTTTCTCTCTTCCTTAATATATGAAATACTAATATCAACCCACTTAAGCCTCTACAAATGTGCTTCTTAATTAGTCTCTTTTGTTAATTAATCACTAATTAATGGAGCCATCACGTTTCTCAACCAAATCTTATCTTAGCCAGGTGGAGATGGGATTGAAATTATGCATGGATGGGTGGTCAATAAACCAATTATATTTCTACACAGATGTTTGTTCATTTTGTGTTTCACAAAACTTGATAGAAAGAGACTCCCACTTTAGGTGATGGAAACAGGATCCTAATCACCATTCAAACTTATTGAACAAGACCTTTACATGGGTCCCTTATGGTTTAACATTACCCATCAATATATTGCCACCTAAGCCTTTTTATCATTTTTGGAGTTGAGGGGGACTTGGTTTGGTTCTTGTCAGCGTGTGAGTAGATAAGCGGATAAGGGTTGAAGATATCTTATTATATAATAGGTTTATTACAATAATTTTCCGAAGTTTCTAAAATAACAAAAGTTATCTTATTATTAAGTTTTAGTTATTAAAATAAATGACAAGATAGGAATCAGATAAATATTTATTAAAATATAATATTATAAGTTTTAACAACTTATTAACAGTTTACTAAAAATAAGAGATTTTTTTTTTTTTTTTAATAATCGAGGTGTTCAAACCAGTTTACGTGCACCTCGATTAATTATCGAGATCTATTAAATACCCTACAAATATAATATTTTAAGTTAATCACAAATATAGTAGGTGGTCTCAAGATGATTCGAATCTAGGAAGTTAATGAATGGAGTAAACCTTATTGACCGCTAGGCCAACCCTTTGAGATTAAAAATAAGAGATTTTTTGTTACTCTTTTTTTCCACAACTAAAGACAAAACTATTTAGGTATAACTAACCCTAGTGGCTAAAGAGCTTGTCATCCGGCCACAAGGGAAAGGTTTTCTTTGTTACTTTTGAAACCTTGAGGATATCATTGTTAGTAATTAAACCTAGGGAGGGTCAATGTGATTAAGTCTTAAAAGAAATAAAATGCGGTGCAGTAATGAGTTGGACAGGAAGAAAAAGATAAGATGAGATGAAAGACTTTGGAATTTTTTTGATAATTGAGGATGGATGGGATGGGAATGGGATCATAGGACTGTGTCCATGTCTTGCTATTTATTATCATTTAATTCAAAGGCGTACTATGTTTTTTGTGAATGAACAATCTGCTATCCTTACTTTCCAAAACTATCCAATACCTACCCGCCATTCCTCTCTAATCTACCCGAGTTTGACAGTATCGGTCGTTAAAATGTCAATTTTACCCTTAATGATTATTATAAAAATAATAACTTTCAAAATTCAAAACTTTAATTTGGGATCAATGAGCATTTGATGATATTAATCGAATATTGGAGTATTAACGACGTGCAAGAGAGAGGCGGTCGAACCAGCTTTTTGCGTGACTCAAGCTAGATTGTTCTTAATTACTTAATTGTCAACTATTGGGCAATAAGGGGTACTTTTTTTTTTTTTTTTTTTTTTTTTTTGTCCATTTGAAAGATTTTTAAGAGAGATTAGGGTTTCTAAACCTTAGATTTATTCTTTTTTCTTAAGGTTATATATATATATATATATATATTGCATAAAATGACGAAAATGCACTCTAACGGTTAAACTTTATGTTGGAAAGAAAAAAGTAAAAAAAAAAGAGTAATATATTGATAGTTTCCATAATCAAAGGGTGATAAATTATTTATTATTTAGAAAAACATTGGATGAAAAAAATTGTAATTCAGCCTTAAATCGAATATGTAGAGTAATTATCATGGCAAAATTTAAGAAGTTAATTGATGCTTTGAACATGGCGTTATGCTCTAAAAAGGACATGGAATATTTTTTTGTAAGATCTCGAATAAAATATATGCCCCATTATCATCGATACCCTTCTCAGATAAAAAGCATTAGTTCACTAAAAAATAAATAATAATTATTGTAGAAAATAATGAAATTAAACAGTAATAATACTGTTTAGCAATAATTTGTGTGTCACATCGACGTTGTTATTATATGCTGGAAAAATTGGTTTGACATTAATAAGATGATAAATCAATTAAAATATGAAAATAATTTTTATAAAGCTTTCTCTCTCACAATGATTTTCTTTGAGAAAAGAGACGAGACAAGGTGGGCAAAGTGAAAAAAAATAGTACGTGGCCCGAGTTTGGGCCGCGGGCCCAGAATTAAGTTGAAAAAGTCAAAAATATAATAATAATTATAAGAAACAAGAAGGGCCCCCAACTAGCAATCTGAGTGGCGAAGTGGGTCCTACTTTTCACTTAAAAAGAAAACGGCGTGGAGTTTGGTTTGTGTTGTATACGTCTCTGCAGTTAGAAACACTTTAGAATTTCTCACCATCGTTAATCTTCTTGTGGGCCTTACCCCATAACTGGGACCACTGTGAGCCCATTAAAATTGACAATACTAACATTATTAATTATAAAAAACAATTTAAAAAAACTCATGAAGGAAGACTTTAACATTTAATACGAGGGATCATTATAGTTTTTATTTGGTTGATTGTTATAAGGTTCTAGAAAATTAATTGAGACATATAAATTGATACAAATATCTTTGACCAAAAAAAATCTAGAATGATTTGAGATTCAAGTCTCATATGAGGGATCATTATAGTTTTTATTTGGTTGATAGTTCTAAGGTTCAAGAAAATTAATTGAAACGTGTAAATTGATACAAATATCTTCTACGGAAAAAAATCTAGAATGATTTGGGATTCAAGTCTCATATGGATTATGTTCTTATGGCAAATAAAAAAGAATTATTGATTTTAATTAATTTTTTCTCATAAATATAACATAATAGTTTATAAATGATTAACTTACTATTAATCAATAAGATTCATTGCTCACGACTATGAACTGATTAACTACTAGTGTTGAACGTAAATCATAAAAGAAGTATTATTATTTCTCCAGATAAGTTATAAATGAGAAAAGAAGATAATGGCGAAAATTATCGAGGAGAAAGAGGAAAGAGCCAGCAGCTGGTCCTATCTATCAATCAATGAATGCTTAATGTACAAACACACGTGTCCCTTAAAGAGAGCTCATGGCTAACCAAAGCTGCACCCTTTGCCTTTGGGTCCCCAAACCCTCCTCTCTCTTTATCCCCTCAACACAATTGTTTGTGTTTTCACCCATAAAACATTCTTTTTCTTCTTTCTTTCTTCAATCAAATCAAACAGTAAATTCTTCCATTCGCTAGCTTTGAAACAAGAATAAATTTTATGTTGATGTATTGCTACACCGTTACGGTGTAATCTGTACCATACTACCATTCTAATCGTAAAAGGGCGATTAGAATGGTACCAGGTTTGAGTATTTCATTTCAGAATTCAGGAAACTGGAAAACGAAGACCAAGACGAGAGAATCAGGACAAAATAGCGAGAAAAAAGGCTCTCCAGACAAGGACAAAAGTCGCAAACACTGACACACAAAACAAAAATAATGCAATGCAATGCAATAAATGGTAACAACTACACGTTATTGGTTGCATAATTTAAACTCTTAAACACAGCTCATTCTCATGCACACGACTCTCAACTCAAAACTTTCTCTTTATAACCCCAAACCCTTCGGCTTATCTCTTCCCTTTCAACTTTAAAGTCTTATTAAAGTTTTCTCTCTCTCCATCTCTTTTGATTACTCACCTTTTGTTTTCTCTTTACGTTTATCTTTAAGCAAAGTTTCATGGCCATTTTTGCAGGATTGTAACTAAACAAAGACATACAAAAACAAAGTAAAGTTGAGGGAGAGAGAAAGTGGGTTATCTTTTTTTTTTTTTTTTTCTTCTTCTTTGGGAATAGCAAAACAATTTATTCTGTTTCCGACAGAAATTAGCATCAGGGGTATATAAAGATCACAGTTCTTTTTGCAGTAAATTTTCAGAGGTGTTTGTTCATGTTTGCGGTTCTATCATGTGGGTTGTTGTATGCGTGTAATTATGATGAGTACAGGAATTGATTCTTGTTCTCGTTAAGCAACAATTACAGAAATACTAACACAAAAGACGGGAAAACCCAGTTTTTATGCATTTGTTTTTACTTCAAACATGGAGGCTACAGAGATTTAGGACGCATTTCAGCTTCCCGAGAGTGTCTGCCGTCAGTTTTTTTTTTTTTTTTCATTTCTTTTTTTCTGGGTTTGTGTGTAACATAGACTCCTATAGACGCGGTCACAGTAAAGCCTTTGTGAGATTTTGAGCCTCAAAAGTTTGATAATCACGGCGGTCTCTGCCTTATTTTAATCTCTTGATTCAGGTGAGTTGATGTAATATTTGTTTACACCTGCATCAGTTATTCTCTTTTCTTCATTTAATTTACATCTATCTTTCTTTCTTGTCTGTGCGGAAAAATCTTAGTAATGTTGAGAAAGAGATCAAGAGCAGCGACCAGCAAGCAAAGTTTAATGGCGGATCATCACAGTTTTCAACCATCATCAAACTCCCAAAACAACAAAAGACCGATCTCTTTCTTATTTTCTCCACGATTCCGAGCTTTTACAACAAAGGGTCTCGCTGACACTGAGGTTGTGATAAGTCCAACTTCAATCCTCGACACAAAACCATTCTCTCCTTTCGGAAATCTCTTCTCCGATGACATATTAAAGACCCCAAAACTTCTCGCTGATCAGAACAAATATTATTCCAGGGAAAGTTTAGACTCTAAATCCATTGGTTTAGGTCTTATTGACGTATTAACTGACAGTAAAACCATTGAAGAGAATCCTTCTTCCAAGCCAAATTACAAAAAAGTTTTCTTTGGAAACAAAATCAGAGTTCAAGTTCCTCCATTGCCTGTTTCTAATCTTTCTCCGTCTCCGTCTACGAAATCTCCAACTGAGTTTGGGATTAAGTCTCCAGCCAATAATTCTACTGTCAAAACGAACGATATTTCTCCAGGAGTTTTCACAGGGTGTATTTCTGTGACTGAAATGGAGCTTTCTGAAGATTATACGTGCGTGATATCTCGTGGAGCAAATCCGAAAACCACTCACATATTTGACAACTGCATTATTGAGAGCTACTGTTCTTCATCCGAAAAACCCAACTCCCCACTGGGGAATAAAAATAATAATATTAATATTAATAATAACTTCCTCAGCTTTTGCCATACTTGCAAGAAGAATCTTGAACAGAAAAACGACATTTACATCTACAGGTTTGCATGCTAAATTCATTTTTTTTTTTCTTTTGTTCTTTTTTTTTAAAGAAAAAGTAATTTTTTATCTTCTTTAATCATCATTAATTGATAAGCTAATTGTACTGCAGGGGTGAAAAAGCTTTTTGCAGTCAAGAATGCCGCTACCAAGAAATACTGCTCGATGAATTGGAGAATTAACCAAAAAAATTTCCATGAATCTGATTGTAGAGGGACAACAAAATTAAATTTTTTTTTTTTTTTTTCTCAAAATAATAGAAGAGAGATAATGTAAACTTGATTGCTTCTTTCTAGGGTTTATTGATATCCAAAGCTTTCGTTTTTGGGTTGCAGTAGAAGATGAAGAAGATGATGTATGATTGAAAACTTTGCCTTATCTTTTATTATTTAATGATTATTGTTGATGGGACCAATTATTATTTGAGTCATGAAGATTCTTTTCTTCCTTTGATGAGTGTAGTTTCTTTATCTTATCTCTGGTGGCCATAAACATTTCTGAATTATGGTTCAGTGATGACTACAGTTTGGTATTAATTATTGGTTTATATATATTATGGGATAGATTAATCTGAAACTGACTTTTTTAAAGAGAGACAGATCCAAATTTCACGTCTTTTTCTTCACCAATTCAGTAAGCAGTAGGTGGGAAATTATATACTTGATCAAGAGATAAAGTTTAAACAGATTTGTATTCCCTTATATCTATATATATTTTTTTTCTTCCTTTTCATGATAGATTGAGGGTTACTACTCACCAACCCCAGAAACAGGTGGACTTCTTTGAGACTTAAGGTTAATAACATAATTCTCCCAAGATTTAAGTAATACTATACTTACAACCCAATCTCACAACTCCGACATGACAGTTCTCAATTAGTCAGCTTGTAAATGGGTCTTGCTACTCGTTATGGATCATGTCTGCCCATTTACAAACTCACCAATTGTGAGTTATCATGTCGAATTGTAACATAAAAATTGTAAGATTAGGTTGTGAGTCCATTTTTAAGGAAAAATTAGGTAAATGTTTATTAGTTTATAATAGTGTAAGTTGAAATGGCTAACTAATGTTTCATTATTGATAGGAGAATTTTGTTATTTTTAAGAAAAATTTTGCCGATTCAAATAATCCTCAGGGTGCCGAAAACCCCCAAAATGTTAGGATATTAGTATTCTGTTTATAAGAAAATTTTGAAAATGAAAACAAAACTGGATTTTATGATTTATTAAAATTTAAAATGTTGTTTCATTATTATGATATTAAGAGCAATATAATGCTGACAATAGTTATACAACAAAAAAAAAAAAAAATAAGTAATTATTACTATGAATTTTGTTGTAATTTTTGTTTATTTGTATAACCAGTTGTATGATTCAACGGTAAATAAAACATATGATGTTCAAAATAGTAGTTGCTATGAACTGTATTTATGATTCATTTTCTTATAATAAAAGTAAAGAATGAAACATTTTTTTTTCTTGGATTTCCAATGTAAAATCGTCCGTGATAAAATATTACAGATTTTCAAACGAAACAAAAAATAATAAATAAACGAAAAATATAAATACAGAATCACCTCCTAAAGTTGTTAATAATAAATCATTTAAATATTTGTTATTTACAAACTGTTTAAAATTCAATTACTCCATTTTCTTTTGAAATGGCAAATACCCAATAAACAATTTATGAATATAAATCAAGTTTGAAAATAAATATTCGTTAACTTTGTAGGTTTAATTTCAATCTTCATGTAAAACGTTTTGACATCATAAGAAATAATAACAACATCTGCCCTTCTTAATGGCTGAAACATCAATATAATCACAGAGGATGTATAATTGTTAATTAAGATGTGGCTGACACATGGATTGACCACTCTCGTATTTTGAAACTCAATATCTTGTATATTAAAATAATGCCTAATGAAGAATATGATCTCAACCAACTTATAGAAAATTGTAACAAACAAGCTTGAGATACGATACCAATCGCTTGTACTGGTCACATGAAAAATACAATAAAAAATGCTCGAGTTCAAAACAATACACTTAACATGAATAAGGGCGGATCAGGCATGTCCCACCCCTCAATTTTTTTTTTTTTTACGTACTCAGGATGTTAATTTCTAAATTTTGTCCACCCTCAAAAATATTAATGTGACAATTAGTTTTTATTTTGACCTATCCGATCAGAAATTATCATCGGACAACTTCAATGGAATAGTTATAGAAACGAAACATGCTGTCATCTTTAGTTGTTCAATGTCTGCTCAACCCTATTTACCAACTTCATGGAATATATATATACTTGCTGGGATAATTGTCATCTGTCGTGCAGTGTATGAGAAAACTGTTTTTATTTCATGCTTTCGGGGTGGTAATGAGGGGTTGACACCTCAACAAACATGGGACTGTATTTTTCAACTCTTGTAATACTGTATATTAATTAAAGAGTCTCTTTGTCGTCTTGTGTGATAACATAAATCCAATCAATTAATACAATCTTAAGTAAAGTTTTAACCGATTCATCCCTCATATGATAAATAAGAAAGGCCTATAAGAGTGGACGATAATGATAAGAAAATAAAGTTGTACTTCAATTTCTGTGATGATTCAGAGTAGGATTGAAATAGAAAGAAGAGTGGTTAATTTTTCATGCTTCTTTTAATATATATGATACATGTTATATATCCTTGTTTAGTAGTATTCAACAAGCGGAAGTATTACACTAATACTGTTCCAATGCAAAAGAAAGTAACGGCCTCTCCAATATTAATTCATCATTTTGGCTATGTATACATATTACTCTGATGATTTTTCACAGATTAAATACTATACTTCACTATGCATACTCATTTAAAGGCTGGCCGACAAAGAGTCATAATCTAATCTATGGACAATTAAATGTGACTATCTGCCCAACAAAAGGAAGTGTTACCCCACCCGGACTCTTACAGCCGATATTATTGTGCACAAGACAGTAAGCCCCAAACGAGAGCGCTGTTACTTTCAAACTGAATATGGTAATAGAGACGACAAAAGAAGATGAAATTTAGGATCGGATATCAACGGGAAATGAATCAAGTAAATGTGTAAAACAAAATGAAACCCCCCACTTGAAATATCAAAATTCACAAACACTAGACCTAGTCATGAGTGCTCAAGATTCTACATCTCACAAACCCACAACATCATGAAACTAGAGGATCATCTGGGAACTCAAAACTACCGTAAGAAAAGAGCTAAAAAAGCATCAATCTGTACAAATGGACAAAACGACAGGTCTAGTAACAACATACACAAAGCAGCAAAATCCTAGTTAACCCAAAATCAATATGAAAGAGAAGGAGCCTTGGCACATCATGTAATTGCCATTTGGCAGATGTGGACAGAGAAAGCTAAGTAGTAGAACACCAGCACACAGTTAAGGTTTCAAGTAAACAGTATTCAAGCTTTATCACTTGTTAAAGATCCAAAGACACATCATTCTGAATATTGATTCATTCCTAAAAGAGAGTCAACAATATAATACTCTTCAAAAACTAGCACAACATGACACAGCTCAACTTCCTTTAAATCCAACATAAAGCAGCGACATTGCTATCAACATAAGTAATGCGAAGAGTGAACCTCTAGTCTGACACTACATATGGACCAATAGAAGAGTGACATCTAGTCTGACACTACATATGACTCTCTGCTTCAAGAGACTCCTGGTACATACCGCAAAGACAAATAACATGCAGTATTAGACACAGGTGAAAAGAAAAGAGATTGCATATATCGGAAACAGCTACATTGATTACAACGAACTCACGGAAGCATACAGTTCTTTACAAGAAAGAACACAGACATTTCATATAGTTCCTACAGACTTAACGGCAAGACATAACTATCACGAACATGTTCTAGTCCTGAGAAAGCCTTCCAACACTTCTCACAATGGTACCCTGGAACACAAGCGAATTGATTTAACGTCATAAAACATATAATTACTTCAACATGATAGTAAATCTACAAAAGGATGAAAGTTAAAGACATGGAAATATTACCTTGTAAATGGCCTTGGCACAGTCAACGAAATCTCCAGGAAATAAGCTTTCGAAAGACCAGGAGACAAGTGGTGTTTCAACTCAGAAGAACAAGAAATAATAGTACTTAGAACAGGACAGGGCAACACGGATGAGCTTAACGTAAAGGACAGAAGTTGCAAATAACTCTTTCACTCCCCCTCCCACTTTTCCCTCTCAAAAACACAAATGTGGTGAAGGGGAAGAAAACAATGTATACAAGGATTAAGATTCTAATAAACGAGATATAGTAAAATGGGTACTACAAGAGAAGGTGCTTGTTGCTGAGCATCTAATTGAGGAAGTTGAACCAAGAAGAAGAGTTACATTAAGGATCATATAAGTTGCCAATTGACACAGTTAACTAAGCAAACAAACGAGCCTATACGATGTAAGATTATCAGATAGAAAAAGAAGGGCTTTTTGAAATCGAAATCAGGAGATAGAGATGAATAACAAGAATAACAGAGATCTAAAGAACTTCATGAATGTGTCTAATCAAGGTATCTACTATATATACACGGTATCAACACTAGAGACCTAAACTTGTGCTTAAGTCATGACTGTGAGAAGCAACAGTTTTACCCGAGAGATTAGATTTACTGATAAGTTACATCATAGATTCCCAATTAACACAAGACGTATGTTCTCAGCCCAGCAGCGTAGATAGTAGTTATTGCTCCATCCCACGCCAAATAAGATTGCAGCATGCATTCATCACCACGACTCCCAGTACCTTCTGCTCCATTCAAGTCAACTTCCCTCCGTTTAGCCACACATGTTACCACCTTGCCCAACTCCAGCTCAATTCAATGAAAATATCTGAGATTGTTGACCCACACCAGCCATCCACTACACCAACAAAACAAACACACCCGTACGACTCAAACTATCAACCACACTCAAAAACTAAGAAACGACCGCATAACCACTTGCTCTACCAACCAACTCTTATTTTCTAACTGTATATACAATCTAACACGAACCCACTTCACGAGCTAAAGTTATTACAGGAGCGCAATAAAGCTCCTTCTACTTCACTCATCGACATTGTCAAGATTGATAAGCGCAGAGTCTTTGTCGCTGAGTCAGCATCTAAGAAATATACCCTATACGACCATAAGGTCCCTGGTGGTGACGAGGGGCAGATTTAGCCATGGACGATCCATTTCAACAGCAGCCTCTCGCCATTCCTGGCAAATCAAGTGAAGCCGGTGCGTTCGGCTGCATGGAAAACTTGGGAATCGGCAACGAGCTCGGCGGCGGGAGTTGGAAACGGCACGGCCCGCCCACAGCTCGCGACAATAGAGGGTTTTCAATTCACCCAGGAGTTTCCCAGTGAAGGTCTCTCCATTTCTTGGGGGTTGTATGTTGATTAG